TTTTTATTTGGATTTAAATGAGACTTTTGTTGTAACGTCATTTAAACAAAATTTGATTTTTGTTTCTACTTTAGACAAATTTGGGTATTGTTGTTCTTTGAAAATAGAAAATTTAGTCTTTTTCACAATTCAAAATTAGTTGGTACATGTTCTTTATCAGGTTACAATAATCTATATTTACATGATTTAGTTATCTCTTTTAATGAATCCTTACATTTACATATACGAGGTGTAAAGCGTAAATTAACCAATAAGAATTCTATCTCATTATGGCACAAGAGATTAGGTCATATCTGCAAAATAAGAATTGAGAAACTTGTGTAGGATGAAATTCTCGATCCCTTGATTTTGTAGATTTTGATATGTGTGTCAATTACATAAAGAGAAAACAGACTAACATTAAGAGATTGGATGCCAATAGGCTGTGGATGTCTTAGAACTTATACATATAGATATTTATGGACCATTCCATATAACTTCTTGAAATAATCAATAATATTTTATAACGTTCATAAATGACTCTCTTACGATCGCTACCTCTATCTCATTCATGAGAAATCACAGTCACAAGATGTGTTCAAAAATTATAAAATCAAAGTTGAGAATCAACTCAACAAAATGATTAAAGGTGTCAGATCTGACCATGGTGGTGAATATTATGGTAGATATGACGGATCAGGTTACAACGTCCAAGACCATTTGTTAAATTCTTAGAGGAATGCAGTATCGTCCCATAGTACACCATGCCTAGTTCGCCTAGTATAATTAGCATTGCTAAAAGGTGAAACAAAACGCTTAAGGATATGGTGATGAGCATAATTATTCATTCTACCTTACTAGAATCACTCTGTAGAGAAATATTAAAAACTACGGTATATATACTCAATAGAATTCCAACTAAAGTGACTACTAAGACTCCTTATGAGGTTTGGATGAGCAAAAAGTCTAGTTTAAAGCATTTATATATTTAGATATCTAGTTGAGGCAAGGCCTTATATAGGCCAAATAAAAAGAAACTAGCCTAAAGAACTATCAGTTTCTATTTTACTGGATACTCTGAAAGATTTAGGGGGTTAAAAATTTTATGATTCCATAATTAAATCAATTTTCGAGATAAAAAATGTTCAATTCTTTGAAGATGTTGAGTTTACGGGAAGGAAAGAGTCTGGAACCTTATCTTTGAAGAGGAATACATTGATATTTCCTCGACTACTATTGAAAATGATCAGGATCATACTCTTATACTTAATATTACTCAAAAAGCAATTCCAAATTTAGATAATGTCATGGCACCTCCCATCATGCTCAAGAAGTTATTCCAGAAAAACAAACATTACAACCTTAAGAATTAATGCCATTTATGAGATCTACTAGAGAGATAATAAGTGTATTTCTGGATGATACATTGTATTTCTTTAGACATGAGGTTGACATTGGATTATGGAATATGATCCATCACTTCATCAAGTCATGAAAGTA